TCCTCGCACCACAGCCCAAAGCTGACATGGCGCCACAGACAAGTACTCGGAAGGATACCCAGGCGCACGATACTACGGAGGAAACGAGCACATCGACGAGGCCGAGCGCCTATGTCAGCAAAGAGCACTCAAGGCATTCGGTTTGAGCCCTGAAGAATGGGGTGTCAATGTCCAGCGTGAGTCAGTCGACAAAACTGCTAAACTTTCTTCTAACACGATACAGCCCTATCTGGATCACCCGCAAACCTCTACGCCTACTCCGCCGTCCTCAACACCCACGACCGTATCCTCAGTCTCGATCTACCCCACGGAGGCCATCTGTCGCACGGATACCAAACACCCACCAAGAAGATCTCCGCCGTGTCCAAATACTACGAGACTCTCCCATACAGGCTGAATGAGAAGACCGGCATCATCGACTATGAGAAGATGTCGGAACTGGCTCACCTGTACAGGCCAAAGGTCATCGTTGCGGGCACATCAGCATACAGTCGGTTGATCGAGTACGAGCGCATGCGAAAGCTGGCAGACGATGTTGGCGCATACCTCCTCTCCGATATGGCTCACATTTCAGGTCTCGTTGCCGCCGGCGTCATTCCCTCTCCGTTCCCCCACTCCGATATCGTCACCACCACTACACACAAGTCGCTGCGAGGCCCGCGAGGCGCCATGATCTTCTACCGCAAGGGCGTACGGAAGGTCGACAAGAAGGGCAAGGAGGAGATGTATGACCTGGAGGGCCCTATAAATGCATCGGTGTTCCCAGGACACCAGGGAGGACCCCACAACCACACCATCACTGCTCTGGCTGTAGCTCTGCAACAAGCCTCAACCAAAGAGTTCAAGGACTACCAACAACAGGTTCTTGATAACGCCAAGTCACTCGCACAGCGTCTCGGCGACTCAAAGGAGAACGGCGGCCTCGGCTACAACATCGTCTCGGGCGGCACTGACAACCATCTTGTCCTTGTCGATCTCAAGGACCGCGGCGTAGACGGCGCACGAGTAGAGCGCATTCTCGAGCTTGTCGGCGTCGCGTCGAACAAGAACACCGTCCCCGGTGACAAGTCCGCCATGAAGCCTGGTGGTCTGCGTCTCGGAACTCCTGCCATGACAACTCGTGGCTTCCAGACCGAGGACTTCAAGCGTGTGGCTGACGTCGTCCACCGCGCCGTCGGAATTACTCAGAAGCTCGACAAGGACGCCAAGAAGAAGGCGGAAGACACTGGTCGCAAGAACCCCGCCAGTGTAGCCGCGTTCAAGGAGTACGTTGGTGAAGGCGAGGACATCACCGAGATCATCGAGCTCAAGAAGGAGGTTGAGGACTGGGTATCTACATTTGCGCTGCCTTGGGACAAGGCGCAATGATGACGAACAATATGATGAAAATATATGCCTTGTAGCAGGGTTTCGGCGTTCGAGGTGAAGGAGGGCAATTTTATGTATATATGATAAGCTTCTTTTCACGGCTACGAGAACAATAGCTCGCTTGCCTCCACCACCGATCCACCCTCACCACACTTCCATAACCATTGTGCGTTTCTCTTCTCATCGATCTATTTGAGTGCTTCTTGAGATTATGCTATCCCTTGATTATTCTATTCTTTCCAGTCCTTATTCTGCCTCCTCGCACCACAGTCCTTACCGACATATTCCACCCAAGCAGAGACCACACATCCTCATTACTCTGCAGAGTTGACACCATCATTATGCTTATCATCACTGTTCTCGCGCTCTTCGTCTTCATGAATCATACCGGCGGCGCATTGGTACTCGCCCAAGATGCTACCACGGCGCGTACATCTACACTCACCACGCCCATCTTCATCTACCTCACTCAGCCCTCCGATACCCCAATCGAGGCGATGTCACCCACAACCTTCACCACTGCGATGGAGCCCACTCCGACGACCATAGAAGCAGAGCACTACACCCTTACGCTCACACTCATCTCAATATCCTCGACTGCACCAACAGCAAACCCTACAGAATCCACCACCATCAACGCCTTCGGAGAACCAACCGATCTCCCCCCAGAACACCATGATTGGGTCGTAGGCGTAACAGTCTCTCTTCTATGCTACGACTTTCTCATCATGGTAGCGTTCGCATGGTGTTGGGTCATGGGCTGGTTCTGGTGGTGGAGGAAGGTCGATAGAGGGAACGGGCAGATGGACGGGGAAAGGAACATGGAGTGGTGGGGAAGGAGGGCGGAGATGGATGAGAATATGGAGAGGGAGATGCGGAGGTTGGGTATGGTGTGATATATTTGACAATCAAGAAGGAGTTGGAGATTGGGAACGATTTTGGAAGAGGTGGACCTATATCATTACTCTGAAATCATCATTATATCCGACGAACCAAGCGTCAGATCGCTATACCATACACATAAACCCGCTCCATCTCCATTTCCACCTCCATCTCTAACCACCTACCCATGCATAGTCTGCCCACCGGGCCCCCTCTCCCAAAACTCCAACGTAAGCGCAGCAAGAAAACAAGGAATCTCCTTCCTGCCCTCAACCCAATACACAATCTGATCGCGTATCTCGCCCGCAAACACACTCTGCTCTCCACCGGATACCTTCATCGTTCCGTTCTCGCCATCAAACACTATACTGTTCTCTCCATCCTCGTCCGCTTGTTTGAACATGCTGGTCACCTTGACACGCCCGTTGGGCATGAAATCCAACTTCCAGCCTAGGATGGAAGCGACGGCTTCTCTGAACTCGAGGGATTTGGCGGCCCAGATTTGTTTGAGACGCTTGATTTTCTTCTCGGAGGAGGCGAGCTGGGTTTTTATTTCTTCGAGCTCGTCTCGGGCGGCGTCGAGGGTGGCTGCGGGGACGGTGGAGGGGGGTGTCATTTGGTTCTCCAGCTGGTCGATGAGTTGGGCGTTGGCTTCGCGGAGATTGCGTACGGTGCTCAGTTTGAGGGCTTCGGCGTCGGCCGTGGGGTTGGATTTGAGCTCTAGAACGCGTGTTCGTGAGGATTCTTTTAGCTTCTTCAGCTGCGAGTGCTGGGCTTTGTATTCGGATTCGACAAGCTTCTGCTTCTTTTGTAGGGCGTGGAGGTCGTCTTGTAGTTGGCGGTTTTTCCGACGTAGTTCGCCTACGCGTTCGTCATTCTCTTCTGTATCGAGAGCGCGCTTCTGGCCTGTTGTCGCAGGCGCAGGTTTCTCCAGGTTATTGAACTCTTGTTGTAGAGTATCGACCTCTTTGCGATATTGGTCGACGAGATCTTCAAGCTCCTTTATGCGCTCGGACTTCGCAGCATCGAATGTGTCGGGCTGCATTTCACGCTCTTCGTCGTCGAAAGCTTTGACTTGAGCACGCAGGAAGTCGACTTCCTTGGTTGCAAGAGCCTTCTGTCGTTCGAGACGCGCTCGTACCTTTGAATCGGCACTGTTCGTCGCAGCGGTGTTTCCGGCGGCCTTGAGTTGCTGAATTTCCGCTTGTAGTTTGGCCTTCTCCTCTTCGAGTGCTTGTATGGTAGCGTCCTTGACAGTGAGTTCAGGCTTGATCTCGCCCAGCCTGTTGAGAAGATCGGTCCTCTCAATGCGCTCTTGGATGAAGGCTCGCGCGAGGTCTTGAGGTGTCTCGAAGAGTACTTCGCCGTGTATCTCTGCTTCGGCCTCGAGATATGATGTCCATGAGTCGCGCTCTTCTTCCAGGACCTGCTTCCTCAGCTCTGCCTCTCCCAACTGCCGTTCTAAGTCATCCATCATGCGCAGCTTTGTCTGCAGTGACCTCTTCTCCTCCTCGACCACCTCAATCGCCTTGTGTTGCTTCCGGTACTGCTTAAGCTCAGCATTCTGCTCCCTCGTCAGGGTCTCCAGCTTCTTGATGTGTGCGACTTGATCGGAGAGTTCCCTTTTGATGACAGCCAGTGTTTCGGCGTCTCCTGTAATGGCCTTCAGGCGCAAGACCTCAGCCTCCATCTGGCCGACTTCCTCCTCCTTCTGCGCAAGCTTCTTCTGTGACGTTTGTAGAGCATTGACCTTGGCTTGTAGATCTGCGTGCATCTCCTCCACACTCTCCTTCAGCGCCTTGTGCTCTGTTTGTAGGGTGTTGTATCTGTGCTCGTTCTGCCGTTGCGACGTCGACAACTCCTCCTTGACCTCGTCGTATTCCTCTTGTAGCGATTGCGCCCTCTCTTGACTCTCCCGCAATCGCCGTTCGAGCGCTTGCCGCTCGTTCGCAGCCTTTGTCTGTGCCTCGGCCATCTCCTTGGTCAGCGCATCGTACTTCTTCGCGGTCATGCTGTTCGACGCCTCGACCTGTTGCGCTTTGCGAAAGTCGGCATCGGCGCGGTTCTGGGCGTCGCGGAGTTCTTGCGCATGCTCCAACTTCATCATCTCCTTTTCTTGTTTCGCGGTTTCGAGCTCATACCGCACCGTGTTGAGTTGGGCGCGGAGATCTTCATTGATCGGATCCGAAGGCACGATCGTGTGCGGCGCATTTTGGGAGGCTCGTAGTGTGGTTCGAAAGGTTTCGCGCAAAGGTTCTCGTTTGGCAGTCGCAGGCGCGGGCGCAGGCTCCTCCTCCTCGCCGGTGAGGAAGTTGAAGGAAGGCTGTGTCGTGTTGCGCACCGCCATGGCAGGAGCGACTCCGCGTTGGTTTGTTTGTTGTGTCGGGACGGGTAAGGAGCGTATATAGTCGTGGTTCAGATGTGGAGGCGGCGATTATGCCATTACTGTTGGCGGGTAGTGTTCTTTCCTCGCGACACGGCGCAGATTCGAGGCGTGTGGTGGGTAATTGGTCGTTCTTGTTGTCGCAAAGCACCGTGTCTGGGGTTCACGGCGCCGTTCGGGCAAGGCCGCCTCAGGCCTAGCGCGTGAGCCCTGCAAGTGCGTCTGGCGCGCAAGCACGTGGCTTTCACTCTACACAAGTCACGTCATAACTCAAGCACATTGCAAAAAAGTTAAGTCATCGTTCTAGATTCAAGGCCATTAATGATACAACTGCGGCTGCGTCGTGAGTTGGAGAGTCAACTACTTCCTACTCCCGTACACCCGCCCACGCTTTCGAAAAGACATCGCTTTCGCCATCTCTCCAGCCCCACGCGACACAGTAATGCCGGAGCAGCATTTCCAGCTCCTCCAGTTCATCTAGAAATTCCAAGCCAGCGATGCGCTCCTTCTCCTCGTCGTCGATCCACTTTCGCCAAATAGTACTTGTGTCCGCGACCTTTGCCCCGTTTGTCAAGCCATAGCCCTGAAGGCGTGCACGTTGGTCGCCCAACTCAGGATACGCTATCAATGTATGAAGGTGAATGTTGCGGGACTGGAGGTTCGAGATCATCGTGCGACCGAAAGCATCTTGGGGTAGGATGGGCTCGTAGAGAATGAGAGACGCAGGCGTCGCAGGTTGTAGGTAGTGTGTGAGCAGTGATGACACTATTGATTTCACTATCGAGGGCTGCAGGTAGACCAGACACATCTCTGACAGGATCAACGTAGGTATGCTCGGATCCAGGTTCGGAATCTGAGGTAGGGGCTTCTCGTCCGACGGGTCGGCCAGAGTACGTAGGTCGAGCGCATGGATGTTGTACGTGTCTGAGTGGTAGGAGGCTGAAGTTGACGGTATGTGCAGCAGCTTTCGGTAAAGCAGCGGTTGTCTCTGTATGGTGGCTATCTTGGCGAGCGTATTCGAAGGGAAGTCAATTTCGTGATATACGAGGCGCGTTTGAGGGTATAGGTCGAGGAGGCGGAAGAATCGCGTGTCGGTGCCAGCACCTAGAGAGATGATCTGCTTCGCCGACGACGGGTAGGTGACGAGGAACTTGGCGACGAGAAGGTCGATGGCCGAGGTGCGGACATAAGTGCCTCTGTTGAGCAACGGCAGCTTCCTCGTTGTCTGTTGCGTCGCGAACAACTTCGCATATGGGTCGTGGAGATAACCAAGCTCTACACAGCTCACCCTGCTCCCCGCCGCATCTTGATCAGTCCCCTTGACGGCATCGTCGAGAACTTGGGCCCTTGTTTCACTTGAGCCCCCAAGACCACCTCTTCCACGTCCTCTACCCCTTGATGCTCCGCCGCGGCCTGTTCCGAGAAGAGTTCGTAGGTTGGGGATTTCGTTTGAGGAGGCCATGTCCAAGTTCGAGATGGGCGGAAGTGGTGGGGTTCCAAGCTCCAGGTCCGCCCGCTAGGGCTGCACGCCAAGCCTCTCGCCCGGCCTGCCTTTGGAACTTCTGGAGATTTCTTTGACGCGCCCGTCTTCACTCACCCGTTGCGCCGACACCACCACCCGACACTCGTTCCCCCGCATCAACGTTAGCGACCGCAAGCATGGAAGGCGAAAAGTACAGCGCGTCTCTGATTCGCCTGTGGAGGGTCTGGCGGACAACCAAGGAGATGATGAACGACCGGGTGCGTTGCACATGCGCTTGAAGGGATCACGGACTGCGCGCTGACTCTACCAAAGGGCTACATGATTGTTGAAGATGATATGACCATGTCACTCGAGGAGTTCTCAAGGAGATATGCGCGCGAAGACGGAGAGCCTGAGTATGCGCCAACCATAGCCATGTCCAGGCCGCAGTACTGACCCTAACCAGCCGCTCGCGCCTCAACTTCTCCTGCCAGCCCTCCGAAGACATGCTCCGAAGGTATACCGATGCCCCGACCAAGAAGAACCCCGAGCCCCAGCCCAACATCGGCACCATCTGGATCGAGTTCAACGCCGACGAGAACGTTGGAATGAAGCAACTGCGCGACTACATGTCCCATCTTGTCAACGGCTCCTTCCACTCCGGAATCATGGTTACCGTAAAGCCCATGACGGGTATGGCCCTTCGACTCCTCCGCGGCGCAACAAGCATCACCGACGGTCCCAAGGGCGGTGTAGAGGTCTTTGTCGAGCAAGATCTACTGGTCAACATCACAAAGCACGAGTTGGTGCCCAAGCACGTCCTGCTGAGTGACGAGGAGAAGCAGCAGTTGCTCCAGCGATACCGCTTGAAGCAGACACAGCTTCCCAGAATTCAGTCCACGGACCCAGTCGCCAAGTACCTTGGTCTGAGGAGAGGTTCCGTCGTCAAGATTATCCGAAAGTCAGAAACAGCCGGTCGATACGCCAGTTACCGATGGGTCATATAAGCGTTCAGGCCGAAGGGTAGATTACGAGAGAGAAACGTTCGAGTACAGCGTGCTATACAAGCGAATGCGCGCATGCGTAATACCTCCAGCCGCGTCAAGGCCTTCAGATTGGAGTAGGCACCAAGACCGGTGTAGCATTGGGCGAGGCGTTTGGCGATGGAAAAGGGTCTGGTTTTTGACACCATTATTGTACTATCCGAGAGCAAGGAAAGCCAGGGACGAACGAATCAAAGTTTCAAGTCTTCATTTTCATAAAGTGCCATGTTTTGGTGCAGAACCCTTTGTCCATCCCTCACACCAATAAGACAGGGTCAACTACGCCACAGCCATCCGCGTCACCATATGACTTCCTTCCATACCACGCCGCATCCACACATACCCGATATACCCTTAGTCCCCTCCTACCCGCTCCTATTCCCAGCCCAACCTTCCCATCCAAGTAACTCGCTCTGAAAACCATTGAAATCTGTGACCCAGCATTACCCTCATCGGTGAACTAGCCCCATCGACTATGAAAAGACGCATCATCCTATTCCGGTACCTGCTAGTTGCGCATACGGGTAGCGCGGCCGCTTGGGTAGCTTTTGTACCGTTCAAGTCACCGTTCAGAGGACGAGTGGAGAGCTGACTTGGCTTGGCCGGGATACGGGAGCCTATGTGTACGGATGTTGTTTACCGGTAAGCGTGGGGTTTGGTGGTGGTGGTGGTTCTGCTGAGCGTAAGCATGGTGAGCTAGGGCTGAGGCTGATGGGCTGAGGGACTGGGGTAGACGAATATCGCTAACTTTACATGTCGCTCGCCGGATTGGGAACATGGTAGTTCCATAGTGGTAGTAGTGCTTACTGTTATTACGTCGCAATAGCAGCGCAGAGGTAGGTGTACTGGAAAGATGAAGCCATTGATTCTGATAGGCAATTCCCGCAACCCTAGAGGTTACGCGTGAAGCGCCGATGTGGGATATGATATGAACTACAGTGCGCGCCCTGCTAACGTGAAAAACTGTATGCGTACATGCTACAAGTACTATGCTGGGGTATAACAGGAAAGCTGTCTGTAAACAAGACACGAAATAAAGTTCAAACATCGCCGCAAACGCTCGCCTGCTGTACATATGCCCCATCAGGGCTCGTCGTCCTCCTGCTCGAACGTCTCGGAAAAGTTGATCAACGAAGTAAACTTCTCCGTTGAGTCTTCAACGTCCATCGTTCTTCGCTTGGCTTCATCTGCTAGCCAGCTCAGCGGCACCAGTATCATGTCGCCCTTGCTGTTCTTGACTAGCTTTGTCTTCTCCCTCTTTGTAGAAGACGGTTCTGGCAGTCTAGTTGTGGCGTCCATGGTGGTGATTGCGTCGCTGCGTCTATGCCTGTGCTCGAGGATATCCACATCTATGGTACGTTGCGCGATAACATGGTAAATATGCACCTTCTTCTGCTGGCCATAGCGACGACTTCGAGCGATAGCTTGTGCCATGGCTGAGTCGTACTCGTATTGGGTCTTTGTCAAAAAGGGTGAGACAAAGATGACATGGTTGGCAACAGTGAGATTGCTGTAGATAGTCAGTACAAGGGAGCTGTGCATGGAAAGAAGAAGGACTTACACGCCAGCTGCAGACTCGCTTCCCAGATTGAGTATGATCAGCTTCTTCCTCTTCTTCACATCGGTGTTCGTCTTGAAGTCCTCCATGAGCTTCGCTGCTGACGCCTTGTGTCGGTTCCGGCCTGGAGAGTGGTATGATATCTCGTAGTGGTCAAGCACTGTCTCCAAGATACCGATGATCTCTTCGTTTGGCGCGAAAACAATGCCTTGATCGTCCTCTGGAATATCCAGAATCAGCTGAGCGATAGCCTCAAGCTTGTTGCCGAAGCCTTGTCCCTCATTCTGGCCTTTGCTGGAGCCCAGATCGGCCATTCGGATCAGGCTACTCTCGTTCGCATGGGAGTTGCAGCCGGGGTGAATGCAGGCCTCGTCATCGATTCGTGACCCAAGACACTCTTTGCATGCAGTATGCCCGCAATTTGGTATCAGAAAGAGCAATCGGGGGTCAGCTATGCCGTTACAGCTCGGCGAACTGCAGCGAACAGGTTCTTCGTCGCGCCGTATGAGCTTTAGATGATCGCGGATCGAAACGACGAAGCGCCTCGATCTTGCTCTATGTGCTAGTTCCAGAGAAGTATCTCGGAGCTGTGACAGTTCCTGCTTGATCAAGCGCTCGCGCTGAACTTTAGACATGCCTGAGACGTCAGTCAGCCCAGGTCTAGGCGTCTTCTGTGCTTCCTTAATCAAGCTGCGAACAATCTGGCTGGACTCATCATCCCCAAGCCAATTGTACTGGGAGATGTCCTTCTTGAAATGCCCATAAAGGTCTCTGATTGTCGCCTCAGTACCGTGAGACTTCTTCATGAAGCCCTCGAACTTGGCGAGCAATTTCATCAGTTCCTTCTTAGTGTTGCGTAGTTGTTGCGACCTTTTCTCGATTAATAGCTCGAGCGCAGATCTGCCTTCCTCAGTCTCGAAGAGCAATGCACACCTTAGTAACGCTTCTTCGGCACTGGCGGAATTTTCTAGGCTGTCGTTCAACCTGGTACTCCTATCTGAGCCTGACTTCTTGTTGAGTTTCTTGATCTGCATTCTTTGAGAAATGAGATATTGGGAGAGCTCTAAGTAGACTGCATGATGGGCAGCATCCAGGTCCACCGATAAGAGCTTTTCTGAGCAGTCAATGTGCTGAAGCTCGGCTTCGTTCTGTCTCACGAAGTCATCGAGAAATTCCTGTGCCCGTCGATGTCTCGCTACGTGCCATTGTCTTGACATGACTTCCGTTTGCGACAAGAAGCTTTCAACGTCAGTCTGATCAAGCTTTGTCATTTTCTCCACGGAAGTCGTAACCAAACCGTCGCCACAGAAATAACGGCCAAGTTTGACTCCTAAGAAAGATGCCAGCTGGTTGACGTCAGAGAAGTTGGCTAAGGCTGGCGTGCCCGATAGGACCCAGCGTTTGTGAGCAGAGATTTGCTTAATACTCGTCGCAATGAAGTTGCTCCCAATTTTGTTGGTATCATTGAGATAGTGGTACTCATCGACGATAATTCGATTGAAGCGAAAGAGATGTAGCAGTGGTGTCAGGTGTGATGGGCTGTCTTGTCTTGTTTTGGTGACACTTTTCGCCTTCGCGTTATTCGAGGAAACCGACTTCGTCTTCATGTTGCTAAACGACTGGTACGCGCTACCATGCTGAATGCTGATGGGCAGGGTCGCCTGGAATTCGCGATGCTGAAGCCGTTCGTTCATTAGCTCCTTCGTCACCCGTTGGAATTCGTTGTATGGATGATGCTGGTACACTTCCAACTGACTTGGTATCTCACCAACAGCTCTCTTCATCCAACAATTGAAAGCACGTCGACTGGTCATAATGGGCTCAGGCAGTGCGGCGAACTTTGCTAGCTCTGAGATGTAAGCTTCATCAGCGAACAACGTCCACGACACTACGATGACTTTGCTTCGGTGAAGGTCGTCGACAGTGAGGCTCTTCAGCTGGCTACAGCTTTCGATGACAAGAACGTCGTACTCTTCATACTTCTTTGAGCCTAGAAACTTCTCCAGCTCTGTGTTCCACTGCTCCGTGATGTGCGGCGGGCAGACAACAAGCGTGGCTGCTGAATCCAAGAGTTGAGGTTGTTCACACGCCAGATCTTGATTGCGCCCAAGAAGCTTTTCCGGTGAGAATTGATCGAATTCACTTTGGATGAGCCCGATACTGGCGACGGTCTTGCCGAATGACGGTTGATCTGCAAGCACACCACCGCGGACAGTTTGCTCCATCTCGACCCGAGCCTCTGCTCTCCAGCCCAGACCGGGGTGAATCGACTCTTCGGTTTCGCAGATAGCGATTGCTCTGCCTAGCTCTTGACTCAACATCCATGAGACAGTTTTCAACTGGGCACCCCGCAAGTAGTTCGGCAGAATGGCGAGAGACGACTGGGTATCGCTCACGTTGCTTTGCAAGCGAAATTTTGCGAAAGATTGAGGAGGTAAGTCGGCATGGTCTGTAATCAGCCTCCAGGCTGTGGTTATAGATGTAGACTTTGGAAGTCTCCCTTTGGCACGATGCACCAAAGACATGACATCGACGCCAACCCGAACGCGTGTCCCTGTCGCGTCACTAGATGCTTCAAGCTGGAATATCGCAGGGCGCTGCTTGATGGCGCGCTCGAATGTGGCAGCGGCTTGACGATCTTCGTGTGCCATCGCTACGCCTTTCTCATCTACGCTCCATAAAATGTTCGGATAAGATGGCGCGCAAGAGCAGTGTTCGAGCGACTCCGAATGTGTAGGCTGCCATGAGGAGCATTTCGGTAGTCTCTTAGCGCATTCCAAGGCCCATGAGTAGTCTGCAAAATCCTGGACGGGGAATTGGTCGTGGAGGAAGACATCGAGGCAAGTGAGCGCCTGAGAGCAACTTGGCAAGCCGATCTTAACGAGACGATCTTCCTCGAGGAATCCAACCTCCAATGGTACACCTGCTGATTCTAGTTGCATCGAGACGGAAACCCAAATGTCCTGAATCGTGGTAGTAATAGCGTGCACACAGCCGTCCTTTACATGCCAAGGTCGCCAGGCTGGATCCACCTGAGCAAGGGTGATACGGCTATCCCCATAATGCTTCCGAGTATTGTCTTGGCTGAAAACAAAGCTGTCACGATCTGATCGACCAATGGGATTGGGATCAAGAAACAAGTACATGCTGTCTGAATCCATCGACCTTTTATAGAGGCTGGCCGACGCAGTTCCACAGTGCGGTTGATACTCGTAATCGCCGATAATGGCCGCCAACTCTTGATGATCGCCCAGGATCTTGATGGTCTTTGGTACGGTCTCTTCCTTGAAATCCACAAGACCAAGTCGACTCCTCCAAGAGCTAAATTTCTCAACCGAGCCGCTAATTTTGAAAGTATGGTCCTTGGTGTAGGGTATGCGTATTTTCCACTCGACGTCGAAGACAGTATTGGTGGTGGCACTATGTGCGATCGGATTGCGAAAGAATTCGCGCAAGGAGCTGTTGCCAGGGAGATCCGGTGGACATTTGACGAATAATGACCATCGAATATCGGAGCCGACCTTCAGCTCAATCGTGGCACTAGGCGAGCTGTATGTGATCTTCCACTCATTGTACTCTCTGGAGAATTCACCCATACAGAAATACTGTAAGCTCAGCTGCGCTTCCAATATAACGGTCAGATACTCGCTCAAGATCGGGTCTTTTGAGCCCATCTTGGCAGCCAGATGAGGGATGTTAGGGAAGGCATCCAACTTCAGTCGTGGAGGCAACCTGGATCTCCACCGCCTGATGAATTCGTCAGGCGGCGGCTTTCGACGACTTGGCAAGACCGTTTCTTTATAATTGTGCTTGGGGTTTCCGGCGCATGAGGCGCAAGCTGAATGTCCACATGCAGAGCAGACATGAACTGCGGTCTTGCTGATAATTTGTTTGCCTTCACAGTTGCACATCCGCGCACTCATCTTTGCTTCGTGCCTGAGCTCGGCCAGGTCGAGATCTTCATAAATGCTTGGTTCCAGAATTTTATGTCCCAAGGCCTCTGGCTGGACGATCATGTTACTGGTGGGCGGAGGAGCTTGTGCTTTGTCGTATGTTGCTACGTCGCTGGAGCGGAAGGCTCTGGATCCAGCGATAATGGCAGAGATTAGAGAGGCTCCGATCACTGTAGTTGACATAGCATTGCCAGCTAGGTTTTGTAGGTCCTTCTGTGTTTCGTTGGCGAACAGCAGTCTATCGAGGGGCATCCCCTGAAGGATCAAGAGTTGGCTACCGTTGAGAGTATGTTGACGATTGCTCGCGAAATCTTGGCCGCCTGGTGTCAGGCACGGCGCGATACCCAAGTCTGCTTTGAATCAATCGACATTCTGGCTGACATCCCAGAGCGCCATTTTGTAAAGTGAATCACAGCCCTTGAGGGCAGCAAACTCTAGGTGAGCGATGTCGATGGCGTCATGCACCCTCGAGGATTGAGAATTGTAAAACTTTCGATCTGCGAAATCGGGAGGCCTGTCACTATTAGTCTGAGCAAATGAAAGCAGGATTACGTGGACTTACATGACGGTACCACTGTCGCTTCGTCGGCTGACGGGGCTTAGTATACCTAGCCTCTTTTCGGAGCGAATGTGGTCATTCCGGAGCTTACACAAAGCCCAGTCCGGTTCGTTCTTCAAGACACTGTAGCCACTCGACTCTTTCAGCGACTCTGGAAGAAAAGCTTCGTAAGGGCTGCTGCACTGTCTCTCAAGTTTGTGCATCAATTCCTTCCACTGGTCAGTCGCGCTCTTCGCATCTTTACCGAAGTGTGAACGCTCTATCGCGACCATATACATCCTTTCTCTTGTCTGGGGTAGATAGAAGTTTTTGGTATCGCAGTAGGTCCATTGAGCTTCATAGCCGATCTTTGCCCAACGTTTTACCACGTCATCCCAAGTCTTCTTCTCATTCTTGACATTCTCCAGGAGTACTAGACTGGGGCGAAAGCGCTCCGCGTACGTGTATATTGCTCGCCATGTGTCGCCCGATTCACCACCGTCGTCGAGAGTTTTGCCTTTGTTGTTCATCCTGGAGAGATCTTTGCAGACGAAGCCGGCGATGAGGATATCTATGCCCGTGGGAATGTCTACCTCTGCTCCGTACGCTGTCATGGCGGTGGTGGCGTCCTTGCGAAGGAAGTCACGAACGTCTCGGAACAGCTTCTTTGGGGCGAAGTTCCTTTCAATGTATCCTTGCTTGAAGACCTCGATTTCGGCAGAGAACTCTTGCTGAATGTGCATCGGCGATTTCCCCATCGTTTCAAGTGCTGAGGGTATAGTTAGTTCAAAATTCTCTGTAGGCGTTAATGCGACTGACCTTTCGAGATCTCATCCAAGGCTAACAAGGGAGATTCCGTGCCAGAGCACATCGTAGCAACTCGAATGGATCGGCCTCCCAAGCTCTCCAAAGCCTCACAAAGACCGAGCTCCATGGCTTTAGCAGTCATGTCAGACATGCATTCTTGAATGTTCGAGAGCGGAGGGAGGCTCAGGTCAATGCCTTTGCCAGCTCGAGCAGATTCACCAGTCTTGGTGTTCCGGCGTGGATTTGCCTTGGGCTGATCGTCTTCGGCAGGGATAATATCTTCATCCATCGAAACGTCTAACGATCCAGCGTTACTCGTGCCCAAGGCTTCCTCGTCAGAAGATGCAGGCTCAACTTCTGGTTCGCTTTCTTCTTCTTCGTCCGTTGTAGGAGAACTGTAAATGTCTGATACGTCCTCATCTTCGTCTTCGGCTGCGAGACCCAGGTCTTGGTCGGACATGTCGTCAAAGTACTGCGGAACGTAGGATACTCTAGGTCGAGCCCTGCTGGAGCGTCCACTGAGACCGAGGTTCTGCGTGCCAATCTCGTTTCGCTGATGTGAGTCGTCGTCCTCCATGGGAATATCCTCATTACCAGATGCCATCGCTGACTTGAGATCGTTATGTAAGACAAGATCGTTTGAGTTTACGGGTGAAGGTAGCGTATCGTCGCCATTTTGTGTTTCTTCGTTTGCGTCGGCAATGTTTGCGACAATAGGGTTTGCCGGTGTCCCCGGGCTTTTGAGCAAACTTGACTCGGATGGGCTTGACTGCGGGCTAGCCACCTGTGTATGCTGATCGTGTATACTGCTCGGTAAGACCTTTCTACGTTTCGATCTAGATGTGCCGTTGGTTTTGCGATCGAATCCATCACTCAAATTCTCCGTGGTGAGCTGTGTGCCAGTATTGGTTTGGGGTGCCTCGCTACGACGAGTCCTTCGGCCTCTGCTGGACTGCTCTGGGGCAATAGCCTCAGACTGAGGGGCAATCTCGGTTCTCGCACCTATGTCTTCAGGCTTGGGCTTCTTCTTCTCGGGTAGCTTGCGACATAAGTGTACGGTTTTATTGCGGATACAAGTATCGCAAGGTTCTCTTCCGTCACATTGCTTGAAGCCCCGTATTGTGCATCGTGGACAACGTGCCGCTATCGCTGCCGATTCTTCGGGCGTGGGCAATCGACATTTCTTCTTCTTATCCCGAATACAACGTGTGCACAGGTCGGCTCCTTCTTCTGTGTGACATTCGTAAGCCGCGTTGCCTCCACGGGTGAGACAGAAGTAACAACAGTCTAGAGGTATGACCTGGTCGGCATCGTCGGTCGCTTGAGGTGGTGTCGCGGTAATAGTAGGGATAGAGGGTGTATCAACTGCAATTGGTTAGCTCTTGAGGGACAGCAAGTGGTGATGATAAGGTGAACGGAATACCATTGACAAGCTGAGCTGTGTGCGCGCGGCGAGCGCGATTGCCTCGTGTCTGTGTCTCGGCCAATGGAGTCCGCCCGGTATCCCCTCTGCTCGCAGTGAGTGGCCGTGGTGCAACATGTATAATATCATCGTCGTACTCAGAAATGCTGTGTGAAGGTGACACTTGGGTGACGCGCTTCCGCTTACGCGAGTTGTTTTGTCCCATGGTGAGAGTATTTCGATGCAAGACACGAAATTCAGTATCGGCACAGCCGTTAATCTAGCGATAGAAGAATGAAGTGGCGCGGTTCGCTCATGGCATGCAATTCGCGCGGTGAGGGCAATAAAGTCGATGGAGTTCATGCAGCATGCAAGCACGTAGCGCGACGACGCGTCGCGCTAGTGGAGCGAAAGCACGTGGGGCATCCTGCCAGAGCACGTACCCCGCATGTCGTCTCTTGCCGCTGGACTGCATGACCTGGAAAACATACGAGGAGAAATAAGATGTGCTGAGTAGGCCATCAGGTGAAGTGAGGGCGAGAGGGCTTGTGTGTGTGTCCCTTTGAGGCATGCACAGCCGAAGCGGATAGGCTACTCTGAGAGGGAAGGTGCCATCCTAAGGCAGCGAAGTCGGACAGCACCTGGGCGTTCAGCTCAATGTATACATATGTACCCACCCTCGCGGCTTGGTACTCGTATTACCTTCACCGCAATACCGAAACAAATCATACAAGGTCCTTGCATTATCCTGAATTCACCCCGATTCGTAGCACACATCATGGCTAATCAGGCAGTCAACACATTTGAGGACCTCACTGGTGTCTCGACTTCCTCCTTCAGCAACCCCTATGATGCATTGATAGCGGCATGTGAAGATGATCCGGTAAGATTCTTTAATATCTGATCTTTGCATGTACTTAGCAAACAACGCAGGTACGAATCCAAGAGAAGTACCACTTGCATCGGACCACGAGGAATGCGCAGCAAAAGGCAAAAATGCTCGATACGAGCTTCCAGGGCGTCAACATAGACCCCATACTCTTGAGACTGGAAGACCCCACTGTCGAACCTGGATTCAAAGATCCCCGCAACTGTTTCGTATGAGTGCTGATGTTCAACTTACATCGATACATGTACTCATGATGTGCAGGTATTCTGGGGCCGTCCTACAGAACAAGTCAAGGATATGATCGCCCGAGTGCAGCAGGAACTGCGAACAGTAGCACCAAGTAGGCACAATATCACCGTCACCGTATCGTGATGCTAATGAAAGTAGATCTATGGCTCATGCCCCGGGACAACCAACACATTACAGTACTGGAAGTAACGCACTCGAAGACGGCACCAGAGATTCAGCAACTTGTCGATAATGTGCGAGACAAGATACCTGCCATGACTGACTATACCCACGAGCATCGCACGCGCCTCATCAAGCCCTTGATTGGGTACGATGCTTCAGCGATAGCGTTGAGCTTTGTACCTGCAGCTGGCGAGGGACTGCACTCTGGCCGTACGCCGGAAGACGACAAGTTCACTTACCACCATCTTCGCCGAGATATGTTTTCCATGTGTCGCGATGCAGGTCTTCAAGTAGAATCGCGATACGTCGTACCGTCAAGCCATCTCACCATCGGCCGCTTCATCTATACCAAAGATCAGGAAGACGGAAATGGCTCGCTAGATCCTGAGAAGACGAAGGCTTTGATCGACAAGATCGAGGAGATCAACGCCTGGCTGCAGAAAGACTACTGGCCGGAACATAATGAAGGCAAGATACCTGCTGGAGGAGAGTTCAACGTGGGCCAGGAAAAGGGTTTGCATTGTGGGACGGGTCCTCTTTGGTATGGCGGAGGCGATGCAGTGCACCTTGGAAAGGGCTACTGAGCAGCGTGAGGTTCTTCAACATGTTGGTATGTGGGTCCACAGGTCGGAAGGTAGGTGTACAGCTCTCAGCTGGGGGCGTCGCGATGTGCTGGCTAGGTTTCGCGTCGCATTCTACCAGACAGTATCGAAAGACGTCTACATTATCCTAGTGCCTGTGAAGTTGTTGAGATTAATGCGTGCGTATGCAGCAAACAACTCGAATCCTACCTACACGCCAACCTAGGAAAAAACTGAACAGCCTGGAGCCTACGTTGACGTTAGGTCACCTACTTTGCAAAGATTTGGGTCAATGTAGTCTGCAGACCTGTTCAGTTTTTTCTTGTATGAGGTGCCTAGGTAGCCTTCCCTGGTGGCGGCGGAGCGGCGGGGATGACGTGTGGCTTGTGGCTTGGCCAAAGCGCGTTCCTGAAGCTCCCCACGCGGCATCACAGACCCTGACGGTTAAGTTGTATCACGCTTGTTTCTGCTTTGGCTTGCATAGCTTTTGAACTGGACAGATCATCGAGGAGTAGACATTACACCACGACCCGGCTAAACCTGTCCTTATACTGTAGCCTGGAGACCTTTGCGACCCCGTGAGGCCCCATTGCTGCTGCCTCCCACCACCAAGCATGTTCAACCGCGATCGACTCCCAGGCCTTCCTGGTAGCTCCCCTCGGCCACCGCCTCGTAACGACGGTTACGGACGCCCACCTCCGCAACAGCAACCACCACAAGGACCTCCCCGAGGTCAAGACACAAGAATGGCGGGTTATGATGACCGGCCGCAACAACAGCGCATGCCCGCAAGGGGACCACAAGGGGGTGGCGGAGGCGGCGGGCCTCCACGGCAACTGCGGCCCATCAAGAGCCCTGGAGGCAATGCATACGCATATGGCAACATGTATGTATAGTCAGCAGCAATGTAGTCTGCAAAACTATTCAAAACCCAAATATCTGTATCGTCAGAACTTCTGGCTAACAACTTAAAAGCGTCGCAGTTTCTCCTCAAGACTTCCCACCAAACGCCGACGGCTCCGATATCTACATCATTGTCAACGGAAACTACGCACTTTCCGCACGACCGACGCAAGGATGCAACCCGGGCGAGATCGGTCTCACTGATTTCCAGCGAACATGGGCTGGCATATCACTTGGTCCCCAGGAGGTTGTTAACGCGGCACCATACGATCACTTCGCGTACAGCGGCGGAAAGTCATACTTGGGCGCGGTCGACGTGGAAGTCGGGTTCGCGGGAAGAAAGACCACGGAGACACCTTACGATCAGGACGAGCTCGCTACCGTCGTCAAGAAGAGTTTCGAGAACCAGATCCTTTCGCCAGGCCAGCAGCTCGTGATCGATATCAAGAACATACCACTCAAGTTATCGATACGAACTGTGACGCTAGCGGATTTGTCTATGGAGAAAGATGAGGCCAACGCGCCTGCGATTACCGATCCTCGAGCTCGTGGCATCCTCACAAGACACACTCAGGTTGACTTCTTCAAGGATGCCAAGTCAGATATCAAGTTGAAGGCGTCAGCGCGACGCGCAGCGGCTAACTCCATTATCCAGCCAGGCTTCAAGTTCGAAGACATGGGTATTGGTGGCCTAGATGCTGAGTTCGGTGCCATCTTTCGACGAGCTTTCGCGTCTCGTATCTTCCCGCCAGGTATTCGGGAAAGACTGGGTATCGATCACGTCCGCGGTATGCTTCTGTACGGCCCCCCCGGTACTGGTAAAACCTTGATAGCTCGGCAAATCGGAAAGATGCTGAATGCCCGAGAGCCCAAAGTTATCAACGGTCCGGAGGTGTTGAATAAGTACGTCGGAGCGTCCGAAGAAAACATCCGAAAGATGTTTGCGGACGCAGAGAAAGAACAAAAGGAGAAGGGTGACGAAAGTGGTCTGCACATCATCATTTTTGACGAGCTTGACGCTGTATGCAAGCAAAGAGGTTCTGGCGCGGGTAGTGGTACAGGCGTAGGCGACAGCGTTGTCAACCAGCTGCTGTCCAAGCTCGATGGTGTCGACCAGCTACACAACATCCTCCTCATTGGTATGACGAACCGAATGGACATGATCGATGAAGCTCTTCTGCGTCCCGGTCGTCTCGAAGTGCACCTGGAGATTTCGCTGCCCGATGAGTCCGGCCGAGCCCAGATTCTCAAGATCCACACAACAAAGATGCGTAAGAACAACGTCCTCGAGCAGGACGTCAGCGTCGAAGAGTTGGCTAAGCTTACCAAGAACTTTTCTGGGGCTGAACTCAACGGTCTGGTCAAGGCCGCCACATCTTACGCATTCGGGCGACATATCAAAGACGGCACTACTGTCAAAGCAGACGTGGAAGATATCAAGGTCATGCGACAAGACTTCTTGAGCGCCCTCGACGACGTCAAGCCGCTCTTTGGTGTCGCTGAAGAGGAACTCAGCAAGCGATTCCGCCACGGCATCATTCATTACTCGCCCTTCATCAGGGATATACTGGAGGATGGACGCCTGTACATCAACCAGGTCAGAAAACCGGAATCGAGTCCGCTCCTCTCGGTTGCGCTCCACGGTCCACCAGGTTCCGGAAAGACAGCGCTGGCTGCCAAAATGGCAATCGACTCAGGTTACCCATTCATCAAGCTCATCTCGGCTGAAGATATGATCGGCTACAGTGAGATGCAGAAGGTTCAACAACTGGATAAGGTTTTCCGAGATGCATACAAGAGTCCGCTGAGCGTCATCGTTATCGATTCGATTGAGCTGTTGCTTGACTGGGTGCCGATTGGCCCTAGGTTCAGTAACACCGTTTTGGCTGCCCTGAAGGTCCTGCTTGCCAAGGAGCCACCAAAGGTATGTAGCCTCACTATCCCGCTTCTACTGTGTAATCCATCTAACAACCCTAGGATCGTCGCCTACTAATTTTCGCGACAACAACCGAACGCTCGGTACTTACACAGCTCGATCTCTTCGCCCGATTCGACGCCGAGATCGCGGTCCCGAATGTCAACACACAATCCGAGCTGGCAGCCGTCCTGCGGGAATCCGGTGCCTTCTCCGATTCCGACCAACAGCGCGCTATCAGTGAGATCCAGGAGATGACAGGTAACACCGAAATTGGTGTTGGCATCAAGAAGATCCTCACCGGTATCGAGACGGCGAAACAGGACCAGGATGTGCCTGGCCGCTTCGCTCGCGTCATGTCTCGTGCTATCGCTGCGAACCGAGGGTCGATATAGACCAGGATCGAAGTTTGACGAACTACTCGCGAACTTGTTTGAGGTATGTCAGATAGAGTATCTGTAAATCTCTGCCACGGCCACTATGGTCATGGCTTATGTAGATGCATGAAGCAAACTCAATGAAGACGATATGATACATCACAATTACAGTTGTATCCCTTTCATGTACCCATATGCTCACATACTCTTACCTCTACAATTGGCGATATCCGCCTCACTTCTACCCTAATCCCTGCTCAACTACATACCAACATACACAAGACGCACTTCCTTCACTTCTCGTTCGGAACCGTCCTCATTACACAACATCCCCCTCATCTGCAGAAAACCTGTCACTGTCAGACTCCATTCCAATAACCTCACATACATCTGACACCCCGTACACCCTGATCTCAACACACACACCCCCCGGAAGACACAGCATCCTCATGTCGTATCCCGTATCCCAGTAAGTCCAAACTACAAGTCCGTGGTTTCGGAGGTCGCCGCCGTGCTTTCCCCTTCCCGAGTCGCACTTGGGCCGCCCTGCTTCCGAGTTGGCGAGGCCGAGACCAAGACGTTGGATGAACGGTCATAGGGTGGGGTATGGCGGAGTGGGGCAGGATTGCACGACATATGGTGGCTTGCGTTTGTTGGGTTGGGATACTGGTCTTAGATAGACGGTGGTGGGGCGGGATCTGAAACTCTAAACCGGTGTTGTTTTGTGTAGCGGGATGGGCTTAGCTGAGATCGGTTGGGGTGTTGGGAAGGGTCTACTACGGTTCGGTTAAGGGATGGCTGGCAACTGGCTAGGTTTGAGGTCACTGCTACGGTGTTGGAATGTGCATCGGGCACGTGTACGGTCAATAGGTTTACGAGTGCATCTTACATGTCCGCTGGAACGGTACACTCGAGCAGATTCACAGTCACGGTTTCTGAATAGTTCTCACGCTGAACCTAATTCAACAAGTGCATTTTATATGCGTGCCGGTGGGTCACTCCACTTCGGGGTGGATCGTTACAACAACACGTGAAAAAGGATTAAGAGGCTATCTCAAAGAGACCCCCGTGACTGACTACCCGTCCGTCCGTCCGTCACATGATATGATAGAATCATGACGCCGGTCCAAAAGCAGTCCGTTTCCCAAACCAAGGAGACGAAAACAGAATACGCAGCCTTGCTCAACACTTCATAGCCGCCGTTGAAGCCCCACCTTCCAGTCTCACATGTTCGACGAATGAGCAAGCGTACCAGCTTTCCAGCTCGCAGCTCGCCTCTGGCCCGTCGACCGTTGGCATGGACCACGCCAGCGCCGCACTATCCGAGTGCCTTGAGTCGATTGACAGCTGCCATTCGCTGAGCGCTTGCATCGAACAGCGGGCCGGTCCGCGGTATATTTTTGGGAAAAGAAAAGCCGGCGTGTGGGTCGCTAAAGCAGCGAGGCCGTCTGCCGAGAGTGGATCGTGAACGACAGTTCGCGTTTTGACGTCTACCATAAGCAATTCGGAGACGTCCCGAGTTATAAAAGAAATAATGAAGTCGATGGTATCCGTAGAATCGTAAAGTGAACGTATGCCGCCCGTGTTTTGAGGAAATCCGAAAGGTTGTATGTTTGTATCATCCACAGGCCGTAAGGCGAATATTGTAAGAAGCGCAAAGAACTAGTAGTCAAGAGGGGCTGGGTATCGGCCTTGGGCGGTGCGGAACTGCTCAGGATACTTTCGTGCCGCACGCTCGTTGAGGGAGCTGCCAATTTGTCAGTCATGCTGTTCAAGTATAGAGTCGCTGTTAACTCACTCGACGCGTT